TGACTTAAGAAAATCAACTATATAATTATAAAGTACTAATGGTAGCGTTTTATAATAATACAATTTTTATTATTATTATTTAGTTACAAAAACAACTATGTTTTTTTTGAAAGTTTTAATAGATTTTATTTCGAATATGTACTTAGTACCTAAATATATTGACTGAATTCGATACTGTTCTGCGCAATATGGTTATTTTTGTCTTCGTGTATATTTAAAGTTGTTAAACATTTTACAAACCCATTAAAAACTCTTATCAATTTAAATATCCCTGTATAAGTTTTGAGTGGAAAAGTTAAAAATTGAATTTTTTTATTTATTCATTGAGTTTGGTATTTTAAATTCCCTTCTGGAAATAAACGTCGCCTTAATATGCAAGACGGATAAGACATCCGAAAGACAAATAAAAAAGCTCATGGCAGAGACATTTAATTTTTGTTGCGTCGAAAAGAAACTCTTAAAATTCAATATTCAACAAAGTGTCGTTGAAGCGCAAAGTTTACAATTCCAACTGTCTATTTGGTCCTTCCACGAATTGAAAGGAATACAGAACGGGTTATCGTAAAATTGGCGCAAAATGGTAGGAAAGCCAACTATTTTGCGCTTTTATTATTTAGCACACATTAAATAAATACCCGGAATATAAAGAAGACTCCGTAGCAGTATACAACCCGTCTTATTTAAAACATAAAATAAAACATTTTTCCCGCTATTAAAGTAACACAACGTTACTTTGTACGGGTCATACACATACAAACTCCGCCAGTAAGTTTTATTCAAAACAATTAGCAAAAGTAAAACAGTTTTAGCATAACTTTAATTAAGTATTTAATATTTTAGCCCCACCGCAGAGTGGTCTGAGAGGCAAATTTACGCGGTAAAATACAATTTTTAAAACACTTTAAAAACGCATTTTGATGCCTCTTTATTGTTCGTGACAGATTATATTATATTAGATTTTAAACTGCGAAGTAGAATTTACTGCGTATGCGTTGCGTTATAACAAATACATTAAAGAGTTGTCAAAAATACTCTTACTTTCGGAATCTTGTCTTTTTCGTGTAAAAAAGGTGTTGCGTAAATATAATAGTGAAAATTAGTGTCAAAAATTTATAGTAGGGATAAAGTTAAGTACAAATACAACTTTAAAATGTCTTTTTTTGGATTTTTTGTAAAAAATATAGCGTTTTTTAACCTACAAATTTTCAAGTTTTGTAATTACAAATAATAAATGGAATGTAAGTAAAAATTTATAATTACTTGCCCAGAACCACATAGTGCATTCGAAAATATGAACCTTCAGCTCCTATAAAAATTCATCTTCCTTTATGCGCCTATAAGAGAGTTATGCAAAAATGAAAAATGGCCTTCAAATTACCGCTAACCTGGTCATAAAAGTAATATATTTTTTAAATTTGACAATAATTATTGTACCATTTAAGAATGGTAATACAATTTTCTTTACTCCTATTACATAATATTATTTTTTTAATATACTTTGTATATTATACAGTGTGCCCACGGATCGTATTGACAATAAAAAAAAACTTTTTTATTAGGTATGATACGAAAAAAAACATGTTTTTTTAAAAACTCTTGCTTGTTTCAAAAATAAGATTCCTTCACAAACAAGTGCGTTTTATGAAAAAATTCTTTTTTTTTTGAAAATATTTGATGGTTAAAAATTAAGACTTTCATAAAAAGATTAATGATATATACAGGGTGTTCAGAAATTAAAAAAAGATTATAATCTTTTATATATATATATATATCAAAATAAGAGAGAAATGTGGTAAGATATTCGTAACGGAATCGCAAAAAATCATTCTTCATAAAAACTTCTGCTTGTTTTTAAAAATGAGATTCCCAACAAACATTTTTAACCCTTAATGTCCAGGGTGCTCAGAAAATAAAAAAAATAGCAAAGTGCTTCAAGAGGGTAGTACAATTGTTCTATAGGAATCTCATTTTTAAAACAAGCAAGAGTATTTAACGCATAATAGTTTTCCTATTGTCAACCATCACGATATTGGCTAAAGGGTTGTTAAAAAGAAATATGATGAAATGTAAAATGTTGATATAATAATATATTTTTGATACATTGAAGGTAATGGTTTTTCGGTTTTTCATGATAAAAAAATATGCTTGCGCCATGTTGCAATCGCCAATATTGGCGATCGCCCCCTGGTGCGAACTATAAACATTTATTTATTTAATAAATAAATTATTAAATATAAAACATGAAAAAAAAACAAAAAACACACAAATATTAAAAAAATTCATTTTATATCATTTGACTAGACTTAGCCCCCTCAATACCAAATATTAAAAAAAAATTATATCAGAAGTAAGTTTAGCACCCTTAAAAACATAAAAAACACATGTCTTGGGAAAAATATTTAAAGAATAAATTTTTCTGCGTAAATTTACCTCTCAGACCACTGTGCACCGTGGGGCGACTTGAAAAAACCCCGTTATATTTTTTTTCTTGGGAGAGAAGGGGTACAATTTTTTTAGGAATTGCACTAAGTTGCAATCAATCTAAAATACTGAGAGCTGGCCAAGATAAAAAATCCAATTGTTTGTTTTCTGGAACTGGAAGATGGTTGGTTTTATAATTGTCTCTTACATGGCCAAAGTTTTTAAACTTTTTTTTTATCTTACTAACTACCGATCGTGTAATGGGCCTTTCCGGTTACTTGTTATTAAACATTTCGCAAACTTTACCTTGTGTTTGAGTCCTGTCGCCATATTCTACCATCATCAAAATTTCTATTCTCTGCTTCTCAGTTAAACGCGCCAATATTTCAAACCTTTTAACTGCACTTGAAAATTACTTATTTGAAGTAAAATTATCATACAGTCGACAATAAAAAGTACCAGAATTAAAAAACCAATTAAAATAAACTTAAAATTAAATGTTTTGCTCAAAAAAATCCTCAGAAAACCGGTATTTTATTATGTTCACTCGTAATTCTCGATAACTGTTGAGTTTAGGTATAGGACATGGTACATAAAACATACTTAGAATTTGATGCAAAATTCAAAAATAAAATAAAAAATAGGGGTTTCCATTAAAAAAAATGAAGGTGTTGGTCGTAACTTATATTTGGGTAATCCTATATAAGTGAGTTTACTATTAAAAAACCGCATCTAAAAATAAAAATCGACGTGTCTGAGCGTTTTTTCAAAAAACAAATCCCTGAATTGTAAATGAATTTGTTCCAACCCACGCGTCCTCACTGTATATATACATATATATATATAGTAGCATATATGCTATATATATATGCTACTACCTAGAAGGTAAATAGAAAAATATTCGCCAATGTTGGTTACGTGCATTTCTGTTCCTGCCTTTTTATCCGTCAGAAAACCGTATTTTTGATAGTTTCTAATATAATATAATAGGTTTAAATTGACAGGACTGGAATTGTCAATTATATTTTAAACTAACATTTTTTTTTTCAAAAGTACTCGTACAAAGAGTAAAGAACTCGTGTTTTCATGAGTACTACTCGTGTTTTCACGATTACTACTTGTAACCGTAACCTCTCTTTACAAATGAGGAGCATCCGTGCAAAACCGGCTATATCCACTTTATTAAAATGTTGGGAAAATGGCAAAAACTCTCGGTTTCCTGGCCTTTACAGATAAAAGCAAACTTGAGTTTTGTGGGCTTTGTGGTACTTGATTTATAAGACATACTTTCGTTTTCAAAAACTTTATATTAAGGCCAATATTTCAAAAAATGTTTTGTATATAGCTGGTTTTGCTCGAAAACCGAATAAAAAACGAATAAAATGTGAAAAAAAACCTTTATTATTCAAAAATATTAACAAAATAAATTTAGTGCAAACATGAATAAACAGAACAAATTTTAGTAGTAGTATCGAAATATCCAAGCCACATATTATTATTTATTGGATATAGCCGGGTTTGCTATAAAAACGGGGATTTGGCCGGTTTTGCTCCTAAAGCTACCTTTTAAATGTGATTTTAACATGGATATAGTCGGATTTAAACCGAATTATCTTGGTTGTCGATAGAAATTAACCCAAAGATGCGAAATCAAAAAAAAAACAAAAACTGAATAAAATGGATTTAGCCGGTTTCGCACGGATGCTCCTCAAATGTACTTACGAGTAAATATTTACTCGTACTTAAAATTTTACGAATTCTTTTTTTTAGTACTCGTGCCCAACTCTGGTTATAAGTGATAAGAACATTAACAATTTAATTTGTTCTTTTTGCAAAATCTTTGTTAACCTTTTTATTCTTAGACAATAAAAAAGAGTGGACGCATAATCAGATCGTTGGAAAGTGTGAACCAAGCTGTGACCAGTTTCATGCATAATTTAATTTAATTATAAATGATATCATTTAAATAAAATACCGCATATTTGTTTGTTTAGGAGATACAGATTAAAACAAATAGATTTATTACATTTAAAAGCAAATGTTTAGTTTTCATTGATAATATAATTTTTTACCTGTCAAAGGCTATTCTTGTCACAAAGAAAACTTGTAAAGTTAAAACTGACAGTTCGGCTCACAATGGGATCCCACACAATATATTGTATGTCCATTCTTTTAATATGTCTTTGATTTTATTTGTTGGGTGTACTTGTTACAGTTAGGTAACTACTTTTTTTACGAATTTTACCAAAAAATATTGGTGTACAATCATACTTAATTTTTTTTACTGTGTGGTACTAGTACTTATATATACTCTCTTCTCCTATGTACTCGGTACTCAGTCCAGAGTACGCATTTTATTTTTGTTCACTTTTTGTTTTTACCAAATTTTTTGTTGGCAAAACTAAAATTAAGTTTAAAAAAAGTACTAGGTATGTACTTTGTGCTATGTACTCGTGAGTGCCTTTTTAAAGTACTTGTACTTTTTACTTGAGTACTTTTTGTGTAATTGAAATAGCTTTGATTTCAGTATACTTGTAGTTTTTGTTAGTTCGTATCTAATAAACAATTCTTTGTTCTAGGATCTGCAAGATGTGGTGGATGGCTTTAGCATTGGTCTGGTGGAGCGGTACCTCGGCAATACCATCCCCAGGTCCACAACCACCTCCTGAGGTTTGGAAATGCCCTGTAATAGCAGAACAACCCATAGTAGAGTGTAGTTGTGATATGCCACATACTCTTAGATGCACTGGAGATCGAACTGCAATGGAAATTATTGGTAAGACTAAAAATGTGTAGTCGTAAACATTTTAACACTATTGATAATTTTTAGGTCGAACTCTTCGCTCTTTAACTACTGCATATGTGTCTCTACTGGACTGCACAGTTCAAAACGTTACATCCATTTCCGAACCCCTTCTTGAAGGAGTTTCCCTTCATGGCCTGGTGGTATCATCAGGAGAAATAAAATATATTGATCCGAAAGCTTTTGGAAGTCTAAAAGCCCCCTTGCAGGCTCTGGGTCTGCCCAATAACCAGCTAACAGCTGTACCTACTCTAGCTTTAAAATCCTTGCCTGAACTGGATAGGCTGGATCTTTCAGGAAATAGAATGAAAACGATTGATGCAAACTCGTTTAAGGTTTAAAAAACTATTAATATATTATACAATAATTTTATTGATCAAAATTCCCACAATAATATTACTATTACAATATTAAATTGTAATTTGATGCTCTACTTTTTATCTTTAGATTTCTCCGTAGATTTTCTGCGCTCTTTTTCTTGCAAAAATTTTTCTTTGTCTTGCCGTGCTTTATGAAGTTTTTCTTTGATTTTTTCTCTTTTAAGTCGTTCTGCTTCAGCCTCATTTTTAAGTTTTTCTTTTTCTTCCTTATCTAGCGATTCAACTTTAACTTTGTCAGGAAGTTGGTTTAGAGGTGAACTATTTAAACGCCTTAGGAAAATTGGATTTAATTTATTTATTTTTGGCATTTTAACATTAAATGTGACAATGTTTAAAAATATAGTGTATTTTGTACCTATGTCAAAAATTTGTGGTAGTGTATGAAAGTCAATCTAATACACAGATCTAATATAAAACAATCCACACAACAAGGTCTGTTCTATCTCATGCTAAAAATACTAAAAATCACTGCAACACTGCAAAACAAAAAAAAGGTTTTTTTGAATCACCCTAATATACGTATAAGTATATTATACAGGATGTTCCGAAATTAGTGCACCATACTTTAACAGCAGATTCCACGTGCAAAAATAAGAAAAAAAGTCCCTATAAATATAGATCGAGAAATGCCTCCTAAGGGAGCTACAGCCCCCGAAAAGGGAGCCCCTGAATATGGTTTTTATCTAATATTTATAAAAAAGTAGAAACACCCTGTCACTTACTACATGAAACTGTCACCTGTCTTGAATTATTCTATTTTTTCCTAAACATGGCAGTCTTATTCCAAGGACCACGCGAGTCCATTTCTTTGGTTGTGATTTAATTGTGAATTTTTATGCCATGTAAAATAATTTTCAAATCGATTTTAAGCGAAAACGGTGTATGTTAACGAAGTTCAACAATATGACCTTTTTTATGTGTAAAACTCCAAAATTTCATAATCTGATATCAAATTCTGGTACAAGATACGTACAAAAAAGTTAAGGTGGTTTTAACCCCACTTCCTATCAATCTGACCCAAACATCATGAAATTTTTTAAATTGTTATTGTTACGTCTTATTGGTCATAAAAAGTTTATTTAATTCCCTAAATTTCACTTTTCTATCTTTAACGGTTTTGGAGATATTAAATAAAAACCATCTTCAGGGGCTTTCCTTTTAGGGGCTGTAGCTCCCTTAAGAGGCATTTCTTGACCTATGTTTATAGAGACTTTTTTTCTTATTTTTGCACGTAGAATCTGCTGTTAAAGTATGGTGCACTAATTTCAGGACACCCTGTATTACACAATCCACACAACAAGGTCTGTTCTATCTCGTACTAAAAATACAAAAAATCACTGCAACACAGTTTAACGGCGGCCATTTTTGTTGTTTACAATTCTTTGTGGATTTGTGCTGTTTAATAATTGTTTTAAACGTTGTGTTTCTTATAGAGGCACTTGTAAGCCTCAAATAAGGCCTTTAAGTGGTAAGGACAACCATTTTACTCCTCTTTTATAATAAATATACATTATTCTATCAGGGCTGTCAAATGACAATTTGAAGGTTAATTTGTGGGTTATAATTTAACCTTAAAATTGACATTTGACAGTTTTATGACAGCCCTGATATAAAGTTTATTTTTTACAATAGAGAAGTAAAATGGTTGTTCTTAGCACTTTAAGGACTCTTTTAAGGCTTACTATGAGAAACACAACGTTTAAAACGATTATTAATCTGTATAAACTGCACAAACCCAAAGCACAAAAATTGTAAACAACAAAAATGGCCGCCGTTAAACTGTGCAGTGTTGCAGTGATTTTTTGTATTTTTAGTACGAGATAGAACAGACCTTGTTGTGTGGATTGTGTAATATAATATACTTATATATTAGGGTGATTCAAAAAAACCTTTTTTTTGTTTTTTTCTCGGAACCACGCTCAAAAGTTTCGTATAGATATAAAAATGAGCCTGTGAAAAAATGAGCTCTTCAAATTTATCAAAAAATCATAAGAAACCTTTTTTGTAGAGCGCTTAATTCTCTACAAAAATATGTCAAGACCTTTACAGTACGACCTATTGTTCATTAGCTACAAAAATAAAAGAAACAAAAATAATTTTTTTCATGTTATTCTTATGGAAAATCGAAAAGTGCGATGCGGAGCATCTTAATATTGAAATTAAGAGCTCATTTTTTCACAGGCTCATTTATATACAGGGTGTCCCGAAATTAGGGGGCCAAACTTAAACAGTGCATTTTTTATAGAAAAATAACACTTTTTTGTTTAATAAACATATATCAAAAAATGCCCCCTAACGGAGCTACGCCTCCCTAAATAGGAGCTTAAGAGCATCATTTTTTTTAAAACTATTCCTAGAGGGTTGAACATAAAGACCTGATTTTTTGGGAATTTGGTAATTTTGACATTCTGAATCTGGATCTATAATCAAAACTGTTAAAATTTAATCATAGGCGTAACATTTGAGGGGCAAATTTACAAAAACAGCCCCAACGTTTTGCAGAGTGAGTATTTTAATGTTTTGTTATAAAATTATGAAAATGTATAGTTTTTCACAAAAAATAAGTACTCTTGCTTTGAAACGCTCAGATGCACCATTTTCGAGAAAATTGCAATTTAAATTACTATGCTTGGCATAATTACTAATATTTTCATTAAAAAGCTTTGGGACAAAAGTGACGTTTGGGTTATTTGCTGACTTTACATTTATTTTTATAGTTTAGTTAATATTTTTTGGCTCGATTTTTGTTAATTTTTATTATGGAGCGATTTTCCAAATTTTAACACAAAATTTTAACGAAAATATGAGATGTTTATGCTATGCATTTTTCTCGAAAATTGTGCATCTAAGCGATTCAAATCAAGACTACCTATTTTTCGTAAAAAACTATAAGTTTTCATAATTTCATAAAAAAAAATTAAAATATTATCTCGGAAAAAAGTTGGGGCTATTTTTATAACTTTTCCCCCCCAAATGTTACGCCTATGATTAAATTTTAACAGTTTTGATCTTAGATCTTGATTCAGCATCTAAAAATTATCAAAGCGCCAAAATTTAATTTCTTCATGTTTAACGCTCTAGGAATAGTTTAAAAAAACTATTCTCTTAGGTTACTATTCAGGGGGCCGTAGCTCCGTTAGGGGGCATTTTTTGATACATGTTTATTTAACAAAAAAGTGTTACTTTTCTATGAAGAATGCACTGTTTAAGTTTGGCCCCCTAATTTCGGGACACCCTGTATATATTGCTTAGTTATTATATGAGGCCTGTCAGAGCAAAGTCCTGTCAGACTAAAACTGAGTAAATTGAGATAATTGATTTTGGTATTTTAAATTCTAGTTTTGTAATTTTTTTTATATATTATATGAAATATTGTTGTTAGTCTAGTAGCCAACTACAAGGTCTCCAGGAGTAGTATAGGTGAAATCTATAATTATAAATTGGAGATTGCTGACTTTGGTATGAATTAAAGCAATTATTGCTGGAGATTGCTCATTTTGTTGCAAACGTAAGGAGATTTTCACTAGTTACAATCTTGCAAAATTTAGAAAAATAAACAAAAAAATAATTGTATTTTTATTTCTTTAATGGTTATAAAATTTAACTATACAATCAATGTGGGAAAATTCTTAACTGGACCACATAAATCTGGAGTTTCTTCTAAATCAGGGACCAGGTTGCCTCGTGCAAAAAAGTTTTTATAGTACAACTTATCATCTTCTTCCCACTTTGCCCTGTAATGTTTTACTTGCAATGTTTTGACATTATCAGCCTTTTCTTGCTTTACCTTTACGTCTTATTATGGTATAATAGCACAAAATAAACAAGATAACTTTTTTTATAATTCTTAAAACAATAAAACGTAGATAAATCTATTTTAAATATATTTTTAAGTGCAATTTACTGCAATAGAACTTAACAGTATGTAAGAACCAGTAAAAAAAACACAAAATTAAATCTCTAAAATACGTTATAACATCAAATTTTAGGATATCAGGTGACAAAAATTACCAATTTCTAATGGTGGAATTGGAGATTGTATACTTTGCTGCAAATCTATCAGTGGAGATTGTCGACTTTGCACTAAATGTCATTATTAAAATAGAATTTTAGGCAGGATTTAGCTCCTTTTGCAGCACATAAACTATCATCTTATAGATAATTAGTACAATCTCCGCCAAAACTCTAATTTTTGACCAAAAGTGGAGATTGTCGGTTTTGCTGACAGGCCTCATAGAAGCTTAATAAATTTTATTACTTTCACAATCCACACAAGGTCTGTTCGATCTCGTAGTAAAAATACTAAAAATCACTGCAACACTACACATCATACGATGGCGGCCATTTTTGTTGTTTACAATTCTTGTGCTTTGGGTTTTACAGATTAATAATCGTTTTAAACGTTGTGTTTCTTACAGAGAGACTTGCAAGCCTCAAAGTGGTAAGAACAATCATTTTACTCCTCGAGGAAAAGATCTTTTGTAAAAAATAGACCTTATTCTACCAGGGCTGTCAAATGTCAATTTTAAGGTTAATTTAAGGTTATTTTATAACCACAGATTATAAAGGTTTATAACCCACAAATTAACCTTTAAATTGACATTAAATAAATTTTGATAGAATAAGGTTTATTTTTTACAAAAGAGGAGTAAAATGATTGTTCTTACCACTTTGAGGTCTCTTTTAAGGCTTGCAAGTCTCTCTGTAAGAAACACAACGTTTAAAATGATTATAAATCTGTACAAACCCAAAGCACAAGAATTGTAAACAACAAAAATGGCCGCCATCGTATGATGTAGTGTTGCAGTGATTTTTAGTATTTTTACCTTGTTGTGTGGATTATGATAACTTTGTTGTATTTCATTAAAACTACAAGCAAGCAAGATCACTTTTAAAGTTAACAACTCTTCATATATTAATATTAGGATACCATTAGATACCTTTTAATAACAAAA